AGAACTTGTATCGAAATGCCGCCACGAAAACAAGCACTACCTCCGAACAGCTACTCCGACGTCCGCAATAACCTAACTTCATACTACGTCCGCACAAGCAAGTCACATCACCACACAACGTTCACCTTTCATCAGTTGCCTGACGATCGCAATAGCGTGAAACTCCGAGTAGCAACATTCTGTTCCAGCGACCTCCAGTTCTATATATATATATATATATATAGTATATACAGTGTATATATGTATATATATATATATATGTGTGTATATATGTATATATATATATATGTGTGTATATATATGTATATATATATATATATATGTGTGTGACAAATGATATACGTAATTATAATGCGCCTTTGGAAAAATATGTTTCTTCACAATGAAATACTTCTATGCTACAAATTCCATTCACTCACCAAACTGTCTACTTATATCATAAACCTCCACATAAATATCTTCATAATTAAGGTACAAAATATTTCAAAACGTACACAACAAACCTTACAACAACCATATTTCCTTTAATATCACCGTACACGACATCACGCCTTTCCTAACTTTTAAGTGAACATAACAAAAAAGGTCTATGATGATGCATACAACTAACTCTAACTTTAAATGTTTTTTCTTTATGCTCAATACACATAACAACACTCCACACAACCTCCACCCACCGACAGCACTTAAACATTGCCAGCTATTGTCAAGTGGGCTATTGCATCATTGATGCTCTCGTTTTAATATTGTTTTCGGATTTTCTGTGGTGAAGGAGGCCAAAATACAATCATATTTTTTTTTGAAATCATTATTATCAGCAGGCTCACAAACAAGGCCCATAAAAAATGATATACTGTACAGTAGCAGAATTATTTTCATAATCTTCTTTTAGCTTATTTAATCTTCCTACTTCATAGGTATCATCTTGCCTGCAGAATTCACTTGTAAACTCCCACAGACTGTTAAAAGATCTAGAATCCCTTGCAAAAATTGTAGACAAAACCAGCATGTGCCTCTCATTAAAAACAAAACTGAGACAAGAAATATCAGCAAATAGAAACAGCATCAATAAAGCCGTGAAAACTTCATTCAAATTACAAGTCAATGAGGTAAGTGACTGCATCAGACCTGCAACTTATTATAGTCTTGGAATTCAGCAACATCAACAGTCAGAAAGTTAAACAATTATATTCAATTACTTGAGGTTCAGAGCAGGGAATTGAAGAAGGCAAAATGTTTTACAGCCATTGTGGAACCCGTTCGGCGCAGCGGGAACAGTTTGGTTTCCCTCAAAGTTGGGGTTTTCAATACATAAAACATATAAAATATATATATATATACACAACCAATGAGAAATTATACAGCATATACCGAAGATAATGATCATGATCATCTTCATCATCATCATTAGGCCTTAAAAAATAAATTGTTTGCCCTTCTTTTTTAAAATGATAAAATGGGGCAAGTAGAAAAAGTATTTTTTTTTAAGATACTCAGAAAAAATAACACACAGAGGCCTAGAATGGCAATATCTTACAACAGACAAAAACTTTAGACTAATTTGTAGGGCGTCTGGGAGAAATAAAGATAAATTCACACACAAGTCTTTTAGTTTGTAAAGATTAAGCTAAAAAAAAAAACACCTTTTTTTTCGGCCCCTGTTATTTTCAGTGAGTTAGGGGTGGGTGGAGGAGGGCAAACAAACCTCTTCTTTTTTTTGGCCTTATCATTACTCACTGAATGCTATTATCAATGTTATGATCATCATTATTATTATCAATATTTATTATTATCATGTCAGTGTTATTACCTTCTAGATGGCGTGTGCAATAGTCCAGTCTATTGACTTAAACCATGGTAGGAAATACCACATACATCACATAAACAGCTATAATGAAAAGAAAGTGAGTATATAAGTTGTCATGGTTTCTGATTTCTAAAGAATGCCACTGATCAACATACAGTATGTATGCAGGACCAGGTTAACATGTACATGTTTCTGAACACATTTCATCAGATTTGGTGGAGAGTTTTATTAACAATATCCTACAAGATATGAGTATGATTATGATTACACATGATTATGATTGCACGCAGTCCATAGCTAACTTTACACTTTATTTTAAATTAAAAATCTAATAATCAACTCCCTTGATTAGAAAGGTTCACCTTCACAAAATAGAGTGTAGAAATAGTAAATAAATTACATATATTTGTGTGTATATATATATATATATATATATGTAGA